TAGCAGGATAAGACTAAATTATTATAATGGCTACATATGCAAACACTTTTGTAACAATATTTTTTACCTGTCCCCTTAAATGTTAAAAAATTCTGCAATATCAAGTCAGTTTTGTCCCATTGAAGAACAAGTGAAAGTGGTCCCTTGGATCTGAAACTAGGATCTCTGTCATTAGGATAGTGGAAAAAGGGTGCTTAGATAAGCAGATCTATCTTGTCTGGCATTACTTGGAACAATAATCATATATCAATATATAAGAGAAGAAAAATGTACACAGTTGAAAGGAATAGTCTACATAAATGTGAACAGAAATGTGAAACAGTAAAATATTATTCATATCCTTTGAAAAACAAAACATCTGCCTTCTGCAGAGCCTCCCTATTATCTAAGTATCAGGGAATTTCTGGATTAAATTTACTCTGAAGAGCTGTAAATCCAGAGAAACCGAAAAATTAGAAAATTTCAAAAGATAAAAGAAAAAAGAAGACAGCTTTTTGATTTCTTTTTAAATAGATCTGTAAAAATAATTGGTTAAAATTTAAGACAGGTACCACACTTAAACCCTGACCAGATCAATCAGTAGCACAAGATTTTCCATACAGAATTTAGTCGCATAGAACATCTAAATATTAAGATCCTCTGCATACTAATGTGAAACACCATGGTTTCAGCTTTAGAAAATGCAAGTATAACCACACACCCCCCAAAATAATCACAGTTTTCCCTAGCAATTGCTTTAGACTTGCTAACAGATGCTGCAGTAATTAAAAAAATTAAATCTTTACTTCTTGTATTTCGAGTGAGGTTCCTAATGCAGCTGTTCCAGGACATGCAAGTAAATATAAAATCTGTGATTCCTATATACTAGCACAATTTTCTGTGTTGTCTTTACATGTAGTCAGTCTTCTGGACCTACCACTTTTCTAATAGCATATTAAGTTGTGGACCTAAAAGTTGATTTTCAAGAAGGAAAGCAAAACTGAAAATTAAACAACTGCAAGGCTGGAAGACATGGAAAGACACAAGAGCGTAGGGTGCAAGTAAGATATTTAGTGCAAAATCATCCACAGAACACTTATCCTTATGACTACCGTATACGTCATAATATATTGCATAATACTCTGGCAAATTTCAGCTGCCAGTATAATGATCAGAAACCAGAGTAAATGCAGTGTACTACAGAAAAAGAACAGGAGAAAACCAAATACGTCAGATAAAACAGAAGTATTTGCCTTTCATAGATCATCAGCATGGGTCTCTCCTGTATAATTAAAATATTCTGCTAGCATGCCCTCATTGTGGAATTCCCAAATACTGAGCATTGCCTGCAGAGAAGATACAGGGCCTCTACAGCTTTTCTTGGTGATAACTTCTTTTCTGACAGTGAGGATGTAATGGTTCTCTAATCACAATTATTCACAAAACATCTTCTTATTGCTTTGTTAGCCTATGAGTTTGCATAAGAAGGGAAAATGTATATGTACGGTGGAAGAACTATCTGTCAGATTGTATTAGAGCATGTGGATGTGGTGTTAAGGCCACATTTCTCAGGGATGCATAAAATGTCTGTTTTAATTTGGAAGACTTAAATGCTTAAAGCTCAGTAAGGTGATCTTTCTCTTTGATATAATAAATGTGGGAAACTGGAAAAGTCCATTGTAATATGATTTTAATGCTCCCAACTCATTTTACATATACATCCTCCATTTATTGCTCTTGTAATCAACTCTCTGAGTGGATTTCTCAGAGTAACAGAACACAAGCAGGTTGTTTTTGTGAACACTAAAAAAAAGAGATCCCTAGGAGTTTGAATGCTGTAGGTTCTGAGATTGTTGATTCAGATGAACTTATAATTTGTATTTGTTGCTGCTTTTTAAATTTTATTGTTCAGCCTTGACCCACAACATGCATTAATTTTCAAATTATGTTAGAATTGTTAGCAGGTATTCTTATTCAGCGTGTGTTTTGACTAATTCTCAGCAGGCACCCTTAAACTTTAGCAAAGATTTCTAGCATCTCTGAGAAAATTAAAGAAGTCTGCTGTGCTACAGAAAGTGATAGATAATTAGCATGAAAGTAGAATTTCTGAATGCACATTTACAAATTTTTTACTCTAATCACAGATGAAAAAGTGTAGACTGACTTCATTCAGCACATGCCAGGGATTCATCTCTTCCAACTTTACCGAACAGTGCAGAGTCTCTTCCTGCTACTAAGACTTCCCCATCTGATGAGTAATTTATAAACAAGGTCCTTATCTGTGGTCCTGCTGCTTCTGTAATTTTTCATTGTCTTAAATTTCTCCCAGTCATTCAACCAAGGCTGCCACAAAATCAGGAATCCTCTTTATATTCAATGGTTCTAAAAAGAGTCAAACTTTTAGTAATTTTGTACAGATCTGCAGATCACCCATCATATTCATTAGCTATAAATCAGAAAACAAAAAGAGAGGCTAGAACTGAACTAGAAATTTTTAGAATGTCAAACTTCATGATCTCTTTCTGGATGAAGATGGGATGATAACAGAAGGCTTAAAGACCCTCATTAAAGCACCTCAGAAATAGTTGAAATATTTTGTTCACTCCTACCAACTCATGCAAATTTAATCTACCTGTAAGTAGATTAAGGCTTAGAAGTACACTATAATGCCAATAACATTAGTGCCACCACTCCTTTTGTACCAAGAACCACAGGAATTACTTTAAAAACAGCAGTCTGGTGAACACCCGGAGTTAGTAAATTGAGACATTCCCTTTGATCACTTTGATTTACATCTAAGCTGCTCATCCTAAATGTCACACTCAAGTGTCAGAAGATTCAAATCAGAATGCTGTAATCAGTATTTTTCTGACTCAGTATTATTTTCCCAAATAACCTAAAAATCAAGACTCTCTGAGACACAAAGTGAGTTTATTGATCTAATAAAGTAGAACTAATTCTCCAGAGTGCCAAAAGTTATGTTAAGCATAACTGACAAGGACTCTATAGAAAGCTTAGTCTGTGTTTTCCCAAATCAAGGAATCTGTCTTGGTTCCTAGCTGCCAAGCAGCACCAGGACAGAGTTTGTGCTAGAGCTGGAAAGTCTGGAGTTTGTACCAGCTTTAAGGAAATCATGTCTAACTTCTGTAAATCCATTGTTACAAAGAATTCAGCTCATATGAAAATTTCCATTCCATGGCTACCAACCCTACAGACAGCAACTGACATTCCTCCTGGTTGAAAAGCCTCTGAATAGCAGCTCTACTTACCTCTGTGTCAAAAGGGACAACTGAGTGAAATGAAGCTGAGGAACAAAAGACACAAAAGGATACTTTAAAAGGCAGCTAAAGGTTCTTTCATGCACATCCAGTGGCTATACCAGGATTTGAACCCTTGGAAATCTACAGGAAAAGACAATCCTTTCCATATAAATGGCAATAGGAATATTGGCCATTTCAGTCATAATCAAGAGCAAATGAAAGAAGAAAACAAACCTCTAATGATCTATTCCTGCTGCTGTGCAAAAAGTATAAGAGAGAAAGATGACCTGTGGATGGTGATATCAATGTTCTATGATGGACATGTTTTTGCGCTACACAGCACACAGTAGACCTTGATTCTTTTATGTACTGTTAAAAAATGTACATCTATACAAATCCTTCATGCTACTAATCACTTACAGTCTGAGCTGTGGAAAATGAGTCCTTTTATTTTACCACGTTTTTTTCTGTCATCTCTTAAAAACGCTCATCTCTATTCCAATGAAGTTGTGCTAATCAAATGATATGTGGTAAGGGAAAGCACTTATTTTCCAGAAAATAGGATAGATGGAAGCACTGAAATGCCATGGTGATTAACAGCATAAAGGAATGTATGGATATAATAAAGTATAAATATTAGATAACACCATGGAGGAATTAAGAAAACATCTGTTTAGAAGGCTTATTATTATATTTAGAAAAAATACTGTCTCTTCTGAAAGCAAGATGTCTCACTTTAAACAAGCAAATAGATGTATATTTATTCTATATTCTAGAAATATCATAACTGTGAATTTCCCACAACTGAAGGGTAAAGACAGGTGAGTAGTGTATAATAGTTTAGAGTATTTAACTTTTGCAAGAAAAGACAGAGTTTATTCAATAAGTAAGTTGTAATTGACATAAAATGTTGATACAAATCACTATTACTACTTTGTCTGCCAATCTCACACTAGGCATTTGTGCTGGAAAATTAGGTCAAATTATTTAAAATCAGTTTTCATGTGATGCCTGAGACTCACAGCTAAAAAAATATAGAATCATCTTTGCTACTTATACATGAAAAAGATTTTAATGAGAAATAAAGAATGTAAACCAGAAAGTTTATGTGTTGGTATTTGTAGTGGTTTGGTTTAGGCCTCTTCCTGGCAACCAGGTCGAAACTAAGGAAGTACCCATATCCCAATATTCCATTCTATTCTTTATGTAAGCAGAAATATAAACAGAAGGGGGGAGGAAGTTGGAAAGTAGATCTCTTCTGGTGGAGTTTGGAGAAGGCGGGCAGCCTTCCTGCGGTCGAGTTCTTCATGTGGGAGTGTAGGCCTGTAAGGTTTTGAGAGGCCGTTGCTTCTTCCCAATTCAAGAGGAGAGATCTGGTGGTGTGGACTCTGCTTTCTAAAGGAAAGTATTAAAATTTTGTTGGTTAGTTCTTTATTGGCTGCATATATCTGTGTCTCTGTTGTTTTGGGTTTTTGGGGTATTGGGGTTCTCTTTCTTATATGTATATAGGTTTTGTAACTGTAAATAAGTGTAAATATATATATACCGCTTTGGTTCTGTTATTTCAGTCTTTTAGGGTTTTTTTTCCTTCTCTTTCCCCTTTCCCTGTGTTCATAAAAAGAGGGAGGGGAAGCCCTTTTGCTGTGGTCTTGGGCTCTTGGCAGGAAGCCAAGTCCAAACAACCACAGCATTTTATACATTGCAGTAAACTTTAACAACTACTTACAATGCCTTGTCCCTTGGAACAGCTGCTGACAGCCCTACTTCCTCACTCAAGAACTATATGCCAGTCTCCTTTTTGTAACAGGTGGACAAGGAGGGCTGAAAAAAACATGGGTATGTGAATGCAATAATAAAGATGCGTCAGGTTAGAAACAATGAGTTCAGTTATATCTATGGTGGTGGTTTTTAAGTATTCCAATGGCATTACCTCATGGTGGATCCCTCATCTGGAATTTACAGATCAGAAAGCATAAGACTTTCTTGCTAGAGATAGATGTACCAAGACCATCAGCTTGGCTGTAGTATGTGATCTACCTCACTTTGGTGCTAACAGAGTTCTTTTAAGCCATTCACTTTTTTTTTTCTGCACAGCTGCTGCTTCACTTATTAGTATTCTACAAAGGAGCTCATTCTAGGATAGTTCACTCCAGGACTGCTTTTAAAGGCAATCTGGGTGAAACTGTATACTGCACACTCCTCCAACATTATTTCAGTTGACTTTGTACTTTCACATGACCACGTGCACCTATCAGGTCATGTACCGCATACATTTCATCTCCTGTTACAAAAATACTTCTCTAGTGAGCTGAAACACACTCCAGGATGTCGCACAGACTAAAAAAAAAATCATCATCTTATTTTCAATTGTAATAATTTTCAATCAGCACTGTCTCTGTGCTTCATTTCTAAAGAATAAATTTCCCATTCTTTCATAGTACTTCCCTGCGCTTTGTTTGTCATTCTTCTATCAGTGTTCTTTAGTTAGAACAACAACAAAAAAGGATGTTTCCCTACTTCATAGTTTTTACATTTTCTAGATATTTGACTCTCCTTTTGAGACTTTCTCCCATCAGTAACAAAAGGGATCTTCTCTGGCCATACAGTATCCCCATCATAAATGAGGCCTTCCTTTGAAATTCACATTTAAAGTGATCATTTTCCTTGCAAGTTAATGTGACCGCATTTTTAAAAAAAGAATAAATTTACTTTTAGTAGTATATTTGTTGAGAAACACATCGTGCAGTGGTGTCAACTAGACATTTAGATTGCCCAGCGTTAGATCAGCAACCCAAAATTTTGGAATGAAAAAGAATTCAAATATTACTAACCATCCTTCACAATTAATTGTGCATTGTGAAAAAAAAAAAAGAAAAAAAAAAAGAAAAAATCTGTACACAAAATATTATTTTACTATATAATTATGTATTTATGTATTTTAAAACTATGTTTTATGAGCTGTAATTACTGCTGATGACACATCCAGGAGCAACTCTGGCAATCACACCCCATACCACCTGTGCTGGGACCAAAGCCCCTCTGCAGCTACACACCCCACATTCACACAGTCAGACCAGTTTTCCTTACTGGTTCAATCCCAGGTTTCCCATAGCAGAGTCTCAGATGTCCAGATCCTTAAAATAATTTAATCATAATGCAATAACTAAATAAAAAAATAACAGCTTGAACTGGGCTTTTATATGTTTACAGTCTAAGTGAGGGAAAGTCCAGGGATCTTTGGCTCCTGCTGTGTCCCTAAGTGTCTGGTCACCTGTCTGGGCCACAGGTTCCCGTGCCCTTTTATGCAAAGGCTTGCCAGTTCACAGCCCCTTTTCTGGGGCTCTAGCCACCCAGAGCTCCATCTACAGCTGGCACTCCAGCTTGTACACCAACCTACCTGCACTAAATATATTCCTCAACAACCATACGTACTAATCTTTCCCTATTTCTCTGCCCAAATAGGCATTTGCTTAATGCCTTATGGATCAATCTCAAAAACAAACAAAAAACCCTCAAAAACCAAAAACCAACCAAGCCTCATTTGGGGCTTTAATTTCCAACAGTAACTAGCACAGAAAATGTTCTTCTAATATCTCTGAAACCATGGTTGTGAATTTTTCATCTTATAAGGAAAAGAGTTCTAAACCATCCACCAGTAAGGGAAGTGAAAACCTTACTCATAAAGGGCCACGCAGACTTCTGCTGATAGTTAAACTTACTTAGAGTACATCACTGTCTGTATAAACAGATTGCTTGCATGCAATCTTCTTTCACAGATTTGTCTGTTTTTTTTCCCTATTCATATTTTTGTCATCAATGACATCCTGTAGCAACAAATTTCATGATTTAGCTGATTTGTGTAAAAAATGCTGCCTTTTGTTTTCTTCAAGATCTAGTTCCTAGGAAGTTCTTTTGATGTGCCTATGCACACCTTCCAATCTACTAATGATTTTATTGACTAGTTAATTCCAGTTACCTCTTTTTCTAGCTATATAGACATTACTTGCACAAAAATACCTAATCCATAAGTTTCATTATTCTTTTTACTATATTCTATTTTTTTTATGTTCTACCTGAGACTAGAAGGAGAAATGCAACTGAAAAGTATTTACCCATTTCTCTAAATATGTTCTTATTTTCTTGTTTATTCCTTTCCTAGTCATTCAAAATGCTATATGCAGGATTTTTTGAACACTTCCTTGGATGGGTCTGATATTTTTGTAGAATTGTCTACGACAAGTTCAGAATCTCTTTCCTGAATGCTAATAAGTTATTTAGGGTCTCTCGTTGTTTATATACATAGATGCTATTCTATTGGCTCATTATTCTACATTTATCACTACTGAAATTCATCTTTTACTGCTCTTTCAGTCTTGTAAACTTGTGCAACTTTTCACTGCCAGATTTTGCTTTTATTACCATGAATAATTTAATGCTATCAGAAAACTTTGTCACCTCACTACTCACTTCTTTTCCAGAAAGCTTATGAATATGTGCTATATACGAGCATGTGTGAAAATGCCATGGACAATGAATTTACAAAAGCGTCTAGGTCTGGCTTCCTCCGTTTTTTCCCTTTTTTTCCATGCCAGTGCAGCCACTTCATCATCCAAGGACTATATAGGATTACAGACAGACAAAGGCTAATTATGCAATAAGGTAGGGGTGGGAAGGCAGTGCTAGAAACAGAATGAATGTATGCAATAATTTTCCAGCATTTCTGGTAGATAGAGTTGCTCCTTAACAGTAGGATAATGTGGGGCCAGTAGCCCACAAAAACCCTAGATGAATGACTGTTCTTCAATATTCAGGTGTTTTTTTACAGAATGAATTTTGTTTCTTTCTCTGCCTTTTCTATTAATGTAATGTCTTAAAGTTACACTCTCATTTTCTTATTTCCAGCACTAAAGCACTACCTGAGAGAGGTGAAGCATGCTAGTATCCACAAAGGTTTGCTTTTCCTTTTTCTTTTTTGGATTAATAGTTGCTGGCTTTGGGAAATCTCTAGAATCCCAAAAACTGTCTCAATGTCTGTGCAGTTGTTCCTAAACTGATTATCCTGACTCTGTAAATGTCAGTGGATAAGAAGGAAGTCCTTGAGAACAATAAAACTCAGTGAAATGTTAATTGGAAATGCAGGCAGGACACTGGAAGGCAAAGAGAAAAGGAGTGTTCAGTACCTGCTGGTAATGTAGTCTCATTTCAGATACCTTTAAGTACCAACTACTACTTTAAAGGGGTACGCTGTTACTAGAAAGCTAGCCAAATGCATGCTCTGGGTTTAGGGACATGTATCTATTGTAAGTTATGGGCTTGGCTTGTTGTTCTATTTTAGTTTTTTGCTTGGTTTGTTATTGTACAACTTTTTAATTGAATGTCGTGCATAACCAGTTTTATTGTCTATGTAGACACATGTACTTCTAGAAAAAAAGAAAATATATGAGGAAATAATAATTTTTATTTCTATTTTTGATTAGAAGGAAAAAATGTTTACTGCTCTCATGTAATGACAATTCAAGGTGGTATTAAACTAGAGAGAATCTTTCAATCTGGAATTTTATATACACACTTTTATGTAGTTTATTACTGAATTGTCTTCAAACTAATTATTTTTATCTCCAGCTTAGTTAAGATTATATGTTGTAATAAATTTTCAAATATTTTTCTTATTACATTGCCACACTTCTCTTATAGCTTGCACTTAATAATGAAACTAAGATAAGTTTCCTAGCAAGAAGTAAGATTAATCTACTTGAGGTCAGTCAAGTGACAGGCAGAGGAAGAACTACCCCTTTTTAAAACTGGATATTGGTCATAATGAGAAAACAACTGTTTATTAGGTGATTTATTCATGTGCTGGTTTTGACTGTGGTAGAGTTAATTATCTTAACAGTGACTAGTATGGGGATCTGTTTTGGATTTGTGCTGAAAGCAGTGTTAATAATACAGAGATGTTTTCATTATTGCTGAGCAGCACTTACACAGCCAAGACCTCTCCTGTTTTTTGTACCCCTTGCCAGTAAGGAAGCACAAGAAGTTTGGAGGTGACACTGCAAGAACAGCTGACCCCAAGTGACCAAAGGGATATTCCATACCACATGACATTTTTATTTTTAAGGAAGGGCTATTCAAAAGCTATTCTTCCCAAGTGGTGGGAAGAAGGAGGAAGGGAGGACATTCAGAGTGATGATGTTTTCCCAAGTCGCCATTATACATGATGGAGCCCTGCTTTCCTGGAGATGACTGAACACCTGCTTGACCATGGGAAGTGGTGAATGAATTCATTGGTTTGCTTTGCTTGTGTGCACAGTTATTGTTTTATTAAACTGTCTTTATCTCAACCCAAGAGTTTTTTTTTAGCTTTTACTCTTCCAATTCTCTCCCCAGTCCTGCTGGTGGGGGAGTGAGAGTGTGGCTGAGTGGTACTTAGCTGCTGGTTGGGGTTAAACAATGACAGTTCATTTAATTATAACAACAGTTATATAATGAGCTATATAATTGCTTAACCTCTTTTGGCTTTAGCTTAGCTTTCTATGATTGCCGTAATGTCTATTGTAACAAGCATTTTGATATAGTGTTTTAAGTGACAGATAGTAATAATCAGTAGTTCTCATTTGTGGCCTGAACTATGTGCAACACTAGACTGAAGTGTATAGGTCTGCAAATGGGGAATAATAGCAAAGATCTTGACAATGTGGGCACAGGATGAAAACAGAGGCTTCAGATCATCAGGCTTTAGGCATGCCTTCAGCAAACAATTTCTAATGATCAAAGGAATGTAATCTTGGAAGATTATCCAACATACATGTAAACTACACCATACATAGAAAAAAATTGATGTGATGGAAAAATAAAGTTAGCACCAAGTGGATCCTAGACTGAATGAAAAGAACATAACAACAGCATCATGGTTATGGTGACAGTTTTGGGATATTGATTACTCATTTTAAAACCATACCACCTGCTTCTAGGAAGACTGACACCCATCAACCTTAGGGCCCACAGAAGTACTGGAAGAGTAAGCATACCACTGAAGAAACTATTAATAATAAAAAGCTTGTGTATAACAATATTAAATGTTTTATTAAAGCTACTTCTTCCTGCAATAATTACCCAATTTGGTTACTGTCATTGTAAATTAAGTGACATTTTTAATAGTTCAACTATCCTTTCATTAGCCTAATAAAAAATTACTGCCTTAAATATGAAGATAGTTTCATTAGCCCACAGAATTTGCAGTCTGTGACTGATCTGGTGCTCTGCCCTGAAGCTCTGGTAGGAATTTGGAAGCAAACACTGAAGAAAGTTCTGAATTTGAGTACAGAGATAGACCAATGAGACCTTTTAAATTTGGCGTATCGTATGGCTAGTACTGCCTGTACCAGATACTTTTTCAATGGACTTTTAGTAGTTCCATTGATTATATCTGCAAAAAAACATATGGAGACGCTTGCTACAAAAATCTGAAAATGGCACTGCTAATGATCTGTTGAGGACCATGGTGGTCAGTAGAAGAGTTTTGACTTGCATCAAGGGATAAAAATTTTCACTATTAACTCTTCAATTTTTCATTTTTATTTTTAAGGAAGGGCTATTCAAAAGCTATTAGGAGTGAGCGAGGTAAAATTCATGCTTTGGAGAACAGACAAAGTGGTTGACTTTCACAAGAGTATATTGTGAAATGAGAAATGGGAATTGCAGCTCAGGAACAGGATGTTTCTCCTATCTAATTGCAGTTCACAACATCAAATAGCAGTTGGAAAAAAAAATCTGTCTCCTGCCTGAATGCACTCTTCTTTTTGATGTATTCTTAACATAGTGACGTATTCTTAACATATTTTGCATTCTAGAATATTTTTTTCCTGTTTTCTTCTCTATTCTTACTGTCCAGTTGATTTCCCCAAAGCAGATAATAGGCATTCAATGGGAGATGTCTGTTCTGGAGTAATGGTTTTTTATACAATTGTTAACTGTTGGATGGGTACTCACCATTTCCTACAGGTCAAATATGTAATGGATTTTAAGACCAGGAATCTTAAAACAGATGTAGAGCTTGCTCAGACCAGTCTGAGCAAACTGAAGGTTTTAAGCTTAAGATATTAGTACATCATCCTATTTGGTTTAGGAATGATACTCCCCAGTTCAGTGCCCCCATCGAGACTCTTCAAAACCACACACCACTCTGTCTCACTCCCCCTTCCCCTTCCCACTTTGGAGGGATGGAGTTGAGAATTTGAGGCACAAAAGGCAAAGATCATGGGCTGAGATAAGAAAAATTTACTGGAAACAGCAATGAAATAAGAAAGTGAACAGTAACCACAACATTATTAATAAAAAAACATATAAGAAAAGAAATTATTCACATGAACAAACCTCTCCGGTAACAGACAATACACGATGGCTCCCTCCACCACATTTTCTCAACTGGAAGGAACCTCTTCTCCCAGAAGAGAGACAGCCCCTGGCAATGACACCAGGTGGTGTACAATAACATCAGGGTCCTGGCCACACTCTCTCTCTGTTACTGCAAAAATTTAACCCTGTCCTGGCTAGAACCAGGACACTATGCTAATAAGACAAATATTATTTTTACTGCGGTAGATATCTGAATAACAGTTTTTGCCAAGACACAACATGACCATGATTTAAAGATGCCACTAATTTTTAATGATGCTTTAAAGCTTTACTTCACTGTGAAGTAAGATAGCTGTTGGAGAGATGATGGAGAAGAAAAGAAGAAAAATGTTAAAGAGTCCTCGCATACTTGGCAGCATCAACATCAGAAGTTTTGTCATCCTGAGCTGTAGGTATTTTGATCTTACAGGTATTTTCCAACATAAATGATTCTATGAATCTATGGCAGATAGACTCCAGTGACAGTAGTTGAAAGAGGTTGTGGAAGGAACAGCAACAGAAGTGACACAAAGTCTGAGATATTTCTTGGTCAGAAATGCATTATAATATGAACTCAGTAATCAAGATTTAATTTAACTGTAATCCTCATCACTACTGTTTATGTATCATTTTTATAAATTATTTTGTCTCTCTGTTTCTCTACTAAGAAAACATCTGAAGGACATTCAAAAAGGAGATGTTAAATTAATCTCATCTATCAAAAGCATGATAAGCTGTTCTAGGCTTCACTGCTTCCAAATAAAGCTCTTCACCTGATTTCTGCAGCACTCTATGTCCTGTGTGCTCCTTCATGGAGGAAAGAAAGAAATAAATCAGTTTTCTTTTATTACCTATTCAGCTTATTAAAAGAAACATGAAGAAATTGTGAGTCACACTGTGACATGAATGAAGAGGAAATTGTCTGAAAAGAATTCACTTGTAGTGAAATAAACTCACCTAAGATGAAATAAAAGCCCTAGTGTACTTTACGGTGTTTTTAAGGGTTTATATCCTATTGCTAGCAAAAAGCAAATCAAGCTATGGTACAAAAAATTTGCATGCAGAAACCTCTCAGAAAAGACAATTTGCTTTACACTACTTGCCACATTCTAATATCCCTCTCTTTGTTCACAGTAAAAACTTTTATGACACTCTTGTGAATATTATTTTCTCAGTGATGAATTCTCATTTGGAACAAAGACTTGGTGGTAGAGAACTGTCCCAATCTGGGAAAAGGTTACCAAATTTGAATTAGATATTCTCATTCTAACAAAATTTTACAGTTTTTTAATCTTTACTACACACCAATGGACATAGAACTTTCAACTGTTATTTGCAAGCACAGCACTGTAAGAATGACAGAAAATTCACAGACTATTTATATTGCTAAATTGTGCCCCCAGTAAATTTTTGCCATCAGAGCAACAAGGAAGAACAAGTTGCTTAAAAAGAGCTTACAATGAAATGGCATTTAAAGAAAAGTTTTAATTTTTTCACTATTTTTCGAAGGTATTCTATTATTCTGATTACAATGAACAGGTCAACTATAATATAGTACTATCACAATTAGAAACTGATATCTAGGGTTAAATTTAATGGACAGTTCATCTAAATACAATAGACACGTACGAGATACAAAAATTGTATTCATCCAAAAAGAAGAAAATAATTTATTACATCAAAAGGTACTGCAAGTAAAACATAAAAATTCAAACAGATAAATGCACATATGCATTAGATAAAACTCTCTTAATAATTTTAATGCAGCATGAGTAACTACAATTGTTTCACCTTCAGTTATTAAAGAGAAATTAAAAAACCTACAACAGAAATCAAGTTTCTTTTTCTTTCCAAAAAATTCCTTGTTGCTGTAAGACTGAGATACGTATTTTGTTAAAACAGTTATTATATTAAAGTCTTTAAAACAAACATATTTAATGCGTAAAATATTCAGAGAATTGTGTATTCAAAAAAATGGTACCTAATGCTAGATTACTTTGCTAATATTTAGGAAGAAAATGTTGCAGCTGGAAAAAATTGTAACTCAGAACTGGTTTTGCTATTAAATCTCTTTTCTTTCCTGTTTCTTTTGCTCAGAGGCTCTATAAACAGCCTTGAAAGCCATTAAAAGCAAGGTATAAGATTGCCACGTTATGAGGCTGTGGGAAAAAAAAGCCCCCGAGTTTGTGCAACCGACAGTTTTTGACTCCTGTACAAGTAAATGTTCCAGCTGTCTATGCCCTGAAAATGTTTCAGGAGATGAAAAACAAAGATATGGAACATGGAAACAAAAAGTCAGTTGGGACAACATAACATACATGGCATTATATCCCCCTGACATTAGCATGATAGAATAGGGTTGGGGCAGAGAATAAAGGAGTACATCCAGGGGTCTAATGGCCTCCTGCTGCAACAATCCAAGCACATAACATACTTTCATCTGGCTTTTTGGATAAACATTATTTCTGGAGATAATATTGGTAGAGGCAACTAGATTTCAGAAAAAAATATTTCAGCAAATAAACCTGCAGTGTATATACACAGTAGGTAAGAGTAAACTCTCCCAAAGGCTAGAAGAATTCACAAAACCAATGGGATGTAAAAGTTAATTTAGTATTTGGTTTTTAAAATTATGTCTTTGACCACTGTATCTGATACTTAGGTCCCCACAGAAATTGTTAGAATTCCTTC